GGTGGAGAAAATGTAATTTCTAAAAGGATTACCCAAAGCTTTAAAGCAAATCCTGGCGACAAGGGCGCCGAAGGAGCTGGTGACATGAAAAATGAATTGCAAGCCACGACAAAAAAGGCGAGTTTTCATTCCCACAAACTCACATACAGAGTCACACACACGTGGAGTCATCGTCTCGCCGGCGTAAAAATATGTGAAAAATGAACGGAAATGCCGCAGCGACAAAGCGGAAATGAAAAATGCACACAAGTACACACTCACACATGACGGTGAATACCCCGGAAAATGGCGGCTACCTCGACGCTTGAAGAGCCCAAAATCAGAAAGCAATGGAAAATGGAAAATCGAGGGAGTTTTCGGGGGGTGCGGGAAAAGCCGCACAAAAACCGAAGGAAAGTCAGTCATTGAGAAAGTCAGAAACGGCGAGTACATTGTAATTAATGATGAGGCATAAAGCGCATAATCGAGATGCTGGGACCCTCGAACACCGAAACAGATGGAATTTCCATGTGAATACTTAAATAGGGCACCGGGGGAAAACCCAGGAAGTGACTTTAAGCTGCCTTCGCTTAAAACCTAAAACACAATAAGAAACCCAAACCACTTGAGAGGGGACAAACCTTAACCTTGTTCAAAAACACCTTCTACTTAAGTCAATGGCCGAGTGAGTTTTCACCATTTTTCAGTCTTCCATTTAATTGAAAATCTATGTTCGCACATAGTTTACGGGCAAACAAAGCCGATTACATTAATTCTCCACACTAATACAAATGGCAAGGTCAGAACTCGGGAACAGCTACACTGATATATACTGAACTTTATAAATTAAATTTTAAAAAATCATATACTTTAACCTAAAACTTTAAAAAATTAAAGTAATATCTAAGCTCCTTAAAAAGAATATTTAATGAGTTAATGAAATTCAATTAAAAGCTTTAGCACATATTTTGGATTTGCCAGTTGAAAAGTGCAAATTAGGGAAGTTCGACTGTAGTAGAACGGGGGAAAAGGGTTAAAGTGGCCAGGAAACTTGTTGAGAGCGAATCGGAAAACTCACACACACTGCCAGATACTCGAAAAGCCACTCAGTCAGGTGTTAAAACTAATTTACGACAATTTGACCAACAAACAACAAAAGTTGCCTCCGGGCTCTGAGCTCTCTGTTCTGAGTGCTCCGCATATTTCACACGATGCATGAAAAGGGTTCGCCAGGAAGAGTTCTTAAGGGGAAGAGGGAGGGAAACGTTGGAAAAGTGTGCTTTTCCCATTCTACATCCACTTTCCACACTGACCACAAAAGCATCGAAATCGAAGGCAAGCCATGTCCGACAAGCACTCAAGGACAACTCAACTAAACTCAAGCCCAAGTCCAACCACAACTTGATCCCAATTTGGCTGAGAATTTTGCTCACCGCTGACAATTTCCTTCGTCCTGCTTCGCCGCAAATAGACAGCAATTCGTTTTTTCGTTTTCGATTTTTTTTGCTATAGAAGAATGGTTTGCAGAATAGATTTTCCTAAGGAAATTAATCAGGCACACACACACACCCACAAAAGGAATAACAAGCAGAAATGCAATTCATTCAGCTCGATTCTGCGGAGTCATTGTTTGATAATTAGCATGTAATTAAAGCGAATACGCCCTTTGGGTGGGAAAAACAGGGAGGAGTTTGCTAATGATGATGAAGTAACAGTCGGCTAATGCATACAAATCCGGAAAATAATCATTCAAGTTTGAGAAATAAATTAAAGAATTTAATGCCTAGCTATGTTTAATTTTAAATTTAAAAACTATAAAAAATAGAGTTATTTTAATCGGAAAATCCAAATTTAAGAAATTGCTGCATACTTTTAGACACATTTATAATTGATTTCAAACCTCTAGTGAGAATTCTTCAAATTGTACATCATATCAAATGGTAAATATTTTTTTCAGTATTATTAAAGTTATACTGATAGCAAACTGAAGAAAATAACAGACTCTTTAATTACCGTCTGAAGGGGAACTCTAATTTCCAGTCAATGATTAACTAAAGGAATCTATCCAGACGCCCAACTCCGTGTCCATTCATTTACCTGCTCTAATGAATTAGCAAACCGAATTCAAACCAGGCAAAGAAAAAAATAAAACAGGGGGAAATAAGCCGGCAAAAAGGAGTGTGAAGGAGGCAAAGGTAAATGGAAAGTCATTATGATACACATTTGGCCTAATGAGATTTTTTATGTTGATGCCAAAGGTGGCGGCGGAGGTGAGGCGGTGGCCGCACGCAAACCGTCTTCCTAATTATTCACAATGAACGAATATGCCAGCGGAATGGTGCGGGAAGAACGAGAACATTTTGACACCTTTATGGCTCAATAAATTGGACCAAAGGCAAAGAACTCCTAACACGTCAGTTCATTAGAAACTCACACGGGGGATTTTGATATCGCCTCTGATTACGTTTAAGATGACGAGGCCACTCGTAACTCAGTCCCATGACATTGTGCACAAAGAACAAAAATGTTTCTTGGTTTTTGATGACAGAATAGTTTTAAATACGAAGATGAGAGCTAAGATCCAACCATAGTTAATCAAACCTCAATAATATAATTTTTCCTAAAAATTTAAATAAAACTATTATTTTAAATAATTTATTAGTATATTTTTTATTTTAAATGTATTTAAATGTATTATATTATAATTGTGAGTTTATTTTATTTGTATTTAAATTAAAATAAATGGTTTTTATATTTATTATATTTTCTTCATTTCAAGAGGTTTATTCCATATTTTTCTTTGTGTATGCAAACTGGAAAACCGGGCACGTAAAGTTTACAGTTACCGAAGCACTGGACTCGTTAGTGCTCGGCTAGTGTGTGTTATATAGTGAAAGCAACGACCAGACGGAGGACCTCCTTTACCCACAAAATGGGTGGCATGCCAGTTTTGTTGCAGGGATCCTGGGATCCTTAGACCCACCGATACCGACTGCTTATGAATAATGTTTTCATTTTCAGCCCGGCGAATTCGCCTTCGTCCTCGGCACGCAATTGCATGCTAAGTGCATATGATTCCCGCACTGTTTCCACTTGGCCCTCAGTCAGCCACGACTAATATGCGAAAATTATGGGTTGTAATGTAAGAGGCACTTTTGCTACATTCCTTTTTTTAATGACATCCAACAAACGCGACATGTTCTTTGCGGAGCGTACGGGTCCAAGTGATTAGCACCGCGGGCCCAAGACAAACATTAGAAACTGTCGTCATTTATATTAATTAATGGCGTCTGCACTTGAGTTGAAGGGACTAAAACTTTCGAGATGGCTTTAGAAACTTTACACTAATAGGCAAAATGCTGAGGCAGTTTTGTCATTTACTTAAAGGTAGTTACAAAATGTTAATTAATTTGAAGTTTTTATTTATTTCCACAGATTTGATGTTATTATTACAGCATTATAAAATTTACTATCTTCTATACAAAGCCTAATCAACTCTGGTATCCGTTTGCACTAGACTCCCACAGAAAGAATTTTCCTGTCATGCAAAGCCCCAAAGTATGCAACAGTTTCTGGCTGAGTGCGCCATTGGATTTTCATACAATCAGAAACCATTTTGAACGCATCCGCTTCCGTTTTGCATGGCGGTTTACATTTTTCAGTTAAAAGCGTGAGCTTTTTTGCAATTTGATTTGTTGCCTAAATTCACAACATTTTTGACACCCGTCGGTTGCAAAATTCCGCGGCAGTATACGTTTTTTTTTTGTTTCAACATGGTATTTGACAGGATGACAAATGCAAAGCTATAAAAATGTATTCCCTTCTCGACCATGACAAATTTAAAAGAAATAGCAAAATATATCGGTGTACGGTGCATTTTAAAGTGCATTTTTTGTAAGCGGAACTTGCATTTTGGATGTGAGGCAGCGAGTATCCGAGACCCGCTAACGAAACTCTCGAGACATTCGACGGCATCAGCCACAGATGACGACCTGAGGGCCTTCCGCTGTTTAATATGCACTTGAGAACGTCGAAGTTTCAGTTTCAACTGCAGCGGCACTTAAAACAAAAAAGTTAACAAAATTAAATAAGTTTGAAATGAACATTTAAAAGTGTATCTCCAATTTTTCAAAGACGATTAATTTATTTAATTAAAGTTTTATTTATAAAGAACATTTAAAAAAAAAATGTAGATAGTTATAATTTTTTTCAGTGTACTTTCCCATCTATGTACGGCACTTTCCAGGCTTATACCTAGACCTCCTTTCTTCGCACACTGTTCCGAACCTTTCACTAAAAATAAGTGTTGAGCAAACATTCTGCGGGCATGGAAGTTCGCCTGTGCCACATCAGCATCATCCACTATCCACCATATATCCACCATCTTTGTCCTCTCGAAACAGGGCCATGTTTGTCAAGCCATGAGCTGCGGAATTTCACTGCAAACAAGAATGCAGTGCAAGATGTTTAACACTTTGCCCAGGTCCCTGCCCACTGGGTAGGTCACGTGGTTGCGTGTTGACTAAGATAAGGAATACGGGTAGCCAGGTCTAACTAACAAATAGGATAGCAAAATAAGAAAATATATTCCCCTCTTTTGTCTATAAATTAATCTCTTAAAAGTTGTAACTCAAAGAACTTTTTAAAAATGTTGTTTAAATAACAAATACTATATTAGAGAAGGTGAGATGAACATGATGTTTTCCTTTATAATGTATTTTTTTACGCTCTAGAAGAAAACGGCAGCCCATATAATTATCAATTTCATTCTATACATATACTCCTATACATTTTTTTGCCTTTAAATACTCTGTTGGGACCAACAATACAAAGTTCTATTATAAAGATACACACACCCTCTATAAGGCATTGGCCCCACTAGTCTGGCCACTCAGTAAATTAATTAATTGCAGATTAAATGATTTTACTGTCAACGCGTTGGCTAATGTATCAAAAGCAGACATCGGCATATTGAGACACGTTAATAGGTCGGTTCTAAACAGGCGACTTAGTGCTTCACGATGGCTGACCTGGTCAAATTGTGTCTGTACATCTCGTATTTCTACGGACGTTTAACTGGAGTGCTAAACTTTGAGATCGACTTGAGAACGGGTAAAACCCGCATTACCAAATGGGCCACAACCTATTCAGCATGTGCCCAAGTGTTTTTATTCACCTTTATGACTTATCACACCTATGAAACGAGGACTATGATTAATATGTGGGCAAAGACCAATTCGCTTCATAAGTCTGTGTTTTTGATTATGGCCGTGTTTCGGATCCTTTGTGTCCTATTGGCCTTGATTTATCGGTGGTCAAAGCGTCAACGGTTCATACGATTGTTTAACTCATTCCGCCGGCTATTTCGCAATAATCCCGAGGTTATTCAATACTGTCGCAAAGGAATCCTCAGCAAGTGCTTCTGCGCCACAGCGACGGAACTCATACAGCTGGCAATGTCACTAATACTGGTGCAGAAATATCTAACTATTACCTTGGCTCTGGGCATTTGGTCGGTCCTAACCATGTCGGCTATTACCAATGTGATTATAACCCAGTACTATTTTGCAATTGCAAATATACGTGGGCGCTACATTCTCCTCAATAAAGAGCTTGAAGCGATTTTAAACGAAGCTCAATCCTTAGCACCCAACCGACGTGGAGTGTTTGTGACGAAATGTTGCTCTTTGGCCGACCGCTTGGATGAGATATCTCATACACAATCTGAGCTACAGGACCTGACAGATCGCCTGTCGAAAACCTATGAGCTGCAGCTACTTTGCATGGCCATTACATATTACCTGAACTCGGTTGGAGGCTTCTACATCATGTTTAGTCTTGGAAAGTATAAAAACCTGGTCGAGGATTGGCCAAAGATCGTTTTATTCTTGGGAGTAGCATACTTTTTTTTTTTCTACCTCGATAGCTGGGTTACCATGTTTAATTCTTTCCATCTCTTGGACGTCCATGCTGAAATGGTTAAGCTGATGGCGCAGCGAACTTTACTTTCTCCCGATTTGGACAATCGTTTGGAGGCAACAGTATGTGGATTAATATGAACTAATTAAAATATTTCCTTAACTCTCCCATTTTATTCGCAGTTTGAAAGTTTCGAACTTAACCTGGCACGTAATCCATTCAAACTTTTGGAATTTTTGAAGCTGATCGCACCACATGCTTTACTTGGCTTAACTCGACCATAACTAACACCATATTTCTCATTCAATATGACATGCAAAATTACTGAATAAATAGAAAGATAATATAGTTTATAAACACAGTCGATACAAATTATACAGGTATAATGCTATAACATGCAATCATATTGCTGATACATCAAAATTATCTTTCTAATATATCAGCACATTAGGTTCAATGAGTTTTAGAACCCTTGTATATTATCCGTCTACTTACCATAGCTGCTGTTTAGTATAACGCTATGGCTCAACTGGTAAAATGGTGTCTGTGCCTTTTATATTATTTGGGACGTTTCTTTGGAGTGCTGAACTTTGAAATCGATTTGAAAACAGGACGAAGTAGAATCACCAAACGAGCTACAATATCTGCTGCCATCTCGAACCTAGTTCTGTTGATCCTAACGTGTTTCTATATGGAAAAAAGTAGAATGATAACCCAAGGATGGTCAAAAGTAAATTCTCTTCAGGAAACTTTGTTAATTTTTATGTCGATCGTTCGGATGACATGTGTTTTGATATCTTTGGCCTGTCGTTGGTCCCAGCGCCGTTCATTTATGAGGCTTTTCAATTCGATCTACCGTCTTTACTGCAGCAATCCGGATATAATTCTGTACTGCCGCAGAAGCATCGTAAACAAGTGCTTTTGCGCCACAATGTCCCAGGTTCTTCTGATTCTAATGATCCTCGATCTTACATCAAGTCAAGTGAATTTTTCAATGACGTTCGGCATTTGGACTGTTATTAGCTTATCGTCTGCAATACATGTTATTATTGGCCAGTATTTTGCAGCCATGGCAATAATTCGGGGAACCTATAGCCTTTTGAATAAGAAGCTTCGATCGGTTTTAGCCGAAACTCAATCACTAATCCCCAACAAAAGTGGAGTTTTTATGACCAGATGTTGCCATATGGCCGATGTATTGGATGAAATTGCTCGAACCCAATCGAATTTGCAAGCGCTCACCGAACGTTTATCGAGGACTTATCGAGTTCAAATTATGTGCATGGCCATCACGTACTACCTAAACTTGGTGGGAAACTTTTACTTTATGTTCACTGTAAGAAAATACCAATTCACGACAACGAATTGGACTACACTTACTTTAGTTGGCTTTCTAACCTACGCTACATTTTATTACCTTGACTGCGGGCTCAACGCTTTTAACGTCTTTTACCTAATAGACAGCCACCATGAGATGGTTAAGTTACTGAGTCAACGGACTCTCTTTCATAGGGGATTGGATCCAAGATTGGAGACAGTAGTGAGTATTGGAAATCTTTACAAATAATTATATCACTAAAATAATCAATATTTCCAGTTTGAAAGCTTTATTCTGAACCTGGCCCGAAATCCACTAAAACTTTCATTTTTTGGTCTATTTGAAATCGATCGCAAGAGATCATTTGCTGTGGCCAACTCACTATTGATACACTCTGTTTTATTGATTCAATACGATGTAGAACACTTTTAAAATGAAAAATAAGAAAAAACTGAGCTATAATTATATTTAAAGCAAGAAGTGAAATATAATGTTTATAAAGATTAATGTAAACTTTTAATGGTTTAGAAACAAAGATAAGTCTTTATAACCCCTATGGAGGTCATTAGGACAGTCCGGACTATTAGGAACCCATTAAATCCTCTGCAGAGACCTTGCAATTCCACTCTGTAATTTACTCAGTAAACTAATTGATTGCTTTCTGGCTAATATACTAAGGTCAGATATCGGCATATTGAAACACGTTAACGGTGCAGTTCTAAAAAGCCGACTTAGTGCTCCACGATGGCTGACCTGGTCAAATGGTGTCTGTATATCTCGTACTTCTACGGTCGCTTAACCGGGGTGCTGAACTTTGAGATCGATTTGAGGACGGGTAGAACCCGCATTACCAAATGGGCCACAGCCTATGCAGCATGTATCCAAGTATCAGCCTTTATCTTCCTGATTTATCACACATATAACACGAGAAACATGAAAACCATTTGGGCAAATGCGAATTTGGTTCATAGGTGCGTTCTTATGATTATGGCCGTGTTTCGGATGACCAGTGTCCTTTTGGCCTTGATTAGTCGTTGGCTGATGCGAAAACGATTTGTGCAATTGTTTAAATCATTTCTATCTCTATTTCACAAAAATCCCGAGGCTATCCAGCACTGTCGAAAAGGAATTCTTAGCAAATGTATCTGTGCCATGGCTACGGAAATATTACAGCTGACAATGGGACTAACGTTGGCGCGAAATTATCTCAATGTTACCTTGGTGCTGGGCATTTGCTCAGTCATAACCATGACGGCCATTATTAATGTGATCATTACCCAATATTATATTGCAATTGCGAAGATACGTGGATGCTACATACTCCTTAATAAAGAGCTTGAAGCGATTTTAAACGAAGCTCAATCCTTAGTACCCAACCGACGTGGAGTGTTTGTGACAAAATGTTGCTCCTTGGCCGACCGTTTGGATCGAATAGCTCAAACACAATCTGAGCTACAGGACCTAACAGATCGCCTGTCGAAGACCTACGAACTACAGCTACTTTGCATGGCCCTTACCTATTACCTGAACTCGGTGGGAAGCTTATACATCTTGTTCAGCACTGGACAAAACCAAAACCTAATCGCGGATTGGCCTAGGATCGTTACATTTCTAGCAGCAGTATACTTTTTATTCTTTTACCTCGATAACTGGATAACCATGAACAACTCTTTTTATCTCTTGGACGTTCATGCAGAAATGGTAAAGCTGATGGATCAGCGAACTTTTCTTTCGCCAGGCTTGGACATTCGATTGGAGACAGCAGTGAGTGATTTCATCTGAACTAAGTTAATTACTCCCTGACCTATCCCAATTCGCAGTTTGAAAATTTTGAACTCAACTTGGCGCGCAATCCTTTCAAGCTTCGTTATTTTGGAGTTTTCGAGGCTGACCGCTCCACATCCTTTACTTGGCTTAACTCTACATTTACAAATGCCATATTTCTCGTTCAATATGACATGCAAAATTCCTAAATAAATATTACGATAATGAAAAGTGTCTTTATGTCGGTCGTCGCCAGAAGAACCAGCACGGGCAGCCCATGGGATCCGAATTTTCTCTGCCGCCCTTTTGCAATTTGCTGCAATTGTATGTCGTAGATATATATTAAAGCGTTGCTTGTAAGTCATTAGGTTAAAAATATTATATAAGATTCAATGATATAAATGATAACTATCTCTTTTACATATCAGCGCATTAGGGTCATGGAGTTTTGAACCCCATATTATCCTTCGACATACCATAAATGCTGTTCAGTAATCCGCAATGGTTGACCTAGTAAAATTGTTACTGTTTACATCCTATTATTTAGGACGCTTAAATGGAGTGCTGAACTTCGAAATCGATCTGAAAACTGGACGAAGTCGAATCACCAAACAAGCTACAATATCTGCAGCCATTTCCAACCTATTTCTGTTGTTCATTGTGTATTTCCACATGGAGAGAACTCGAATAATAACCCAAGGATGGTTTAAAGCAAACTCCCTTCAGGAGACTATGTTAATTTTTATGTCGATCGTTCGGATGGCATGTGTTTCGCTATCTTTGGCCAGTCGTTGGTCCCAACGCCGGACATTTATGAGGCTTTTCAACTCGATTTATCACCTTTATCGAAGCAATCCGGATATAATTCTATACTGTCGTAGAAGCATCGTAAGCAAGTGCTTTTCTGGCATCATGACCGAATTACTTCAGATCACACTGGTCCTCATTCTAACTTCGAATCAACAAAGTATTTCTATGGCACTTAGCATTTTGTCTGTTTTTTACTTGACGTCTACAATCAATGTAATCCTTAGCCAGTATTTTGCAGCCATGGCAATAATAAGGGCACGCTACGCCCTTTTGAATGAAAAGCTGCGATCGGTTTTAGCCGAAACTCAATCACTCATCCCCAACAGAAGTGGCGTCTTCATGACCAGATGTTGCTATCTGGCCGATATATTGGAGGAAATTGATCGGACCCAATCACACTTACAAGCGCTCACTGAACGTTTATCGACAACTTATCGGTTTCAAATCGTGTGCATGGTTATAACTTACTATCTCAGCTTGGTGGGAAACTTTTATTTTATGTTCACTGTAAAAAAATACAAATCAATGGAATCGAATTGGCCTGAAATTATTTTAGTTTGCGGCACAATCTACTTAATATTTTATTACCTGGACTGCTGGCTCAACTTGTTTAACGTTTTTTACCTAATTGACAGACATCATGAGATGGTTAAGTTACTGAGTCAACGGACTCTCTTTCCTCCTGGATTGGATCAACGACTGGAGGCAGTTGTGAGTAGCCAAAATCCTTAGAATTAATATATGACTAAAATTAATATATAATTTTATTTATTTATTATTATTAATTATATATTTCCAGCTTGATAACTTCATGCTAAGCCTGGCCCGAAATCCATTTAAGCTTTCATTTTTTGGTCTATTTAGATACGATCGCATGAGAGCATTCGCTGTGGCCAACTCACTATTGATACACTCAGTTCTATTAATTCAATATGATGTAGAACATTTTTGAAAAAAGAGGAAAACATAAACCAATTGAAATGAGCTATAATAAAGAACGATATCTTAAGTTTAAAAGGCAAATAAGTCTATAGGTAACAATTCATTTCTTCCGATTTGCATCAAACTTTAATTAATTTTGCCTCTATTATAAGGGAGCTTGGATGGGGTTTGAGAAACCAGACATATAAGACAATAATATTTATTCAAAGTTAGTAATACACTTTTTTTGTAGAATTACCTTCATTCGTTAATAAAACTCTACAGATGTACTTTTAATTAAACGAGCCTTTCCTTCCGATTTACTTGAATAAATATTAATTTAATTATCGGCAAATAAAGGCAATGTCAATGTTTGACGACTCATCGTTTTTATGCAGTTATTACATTAGCTGTATCAAGATGAAACGATATCGCAGAAGCCCTACCAATTACCCCCAAATATCAGAGCATTAGAAGCAACGAAACAAGCTAGTCCCTGAACTGAATTTCAGTCTACCGCAATGCTTGTCCTAGTGAAATGGTGTTTAAAAAGCTCATATTTATACGGACGACTTACTGGCGTAATAAATTTCGAATTCGACTTTAAAAAGGGTCAATCGGTGGCCACCAATAGAACTACAATATGTTCGGCCTTTTCGCATTTACTATTGTTCACATTGCTCATTGGCCACGCAATGACGACACAATCTATGTCTATGATGTGGAAATACGCCAACTCTCTTCACGAATACGTGTTCGTGGTTATAGCGGTCTTTCGATTAACATGTGTCTTTCTGGCTTTAGTCAGTCGATGGTCTCAACGTCGGACTTTTATGCAAATCTTCAACTCGTTCTGGAGTCTTTATCAAAACAATCCAAGGATAATCCAGTTTTGCCAAAGGGGCATCGTTAGCAAATACTTTTGTGTCACAGTGGCGGAGGCCTTTCAAGTTATAGTTACCCTTACTCTGATGCGAAATAGACTAACCTTTGCCCTGGCTCTACGCATTTGGGCAGTTTTGAGTCTGACGGCCGTCATTAATGTGATTATTATGCAGTATTTTATTACCATTGCGAGTATTCGAGGACGCTATATCCTTCTGAATAAGGATTTACTAATGGTTGTAGCCGAAACGCGATCCCTGTATCCCAATCGAAGTGGAGTTTTCGTAACCAGATGTTGCTCTCTCGCCGATCGCCTGGAAGAAATCGCCACCGAGCAAGCTGATTTACAGAAGCTCACGGAACATTTATCAAAAGCTTATCAGGGTCAAGTCGTCTGCCTGGCCATTAGTTACTATCTCAATATGGTGGGAAGTTTCTACTTACTGTTTAGCACCATAAAATATAAGGGTCTAACGGATAACTCGTCAATGTTAGTTACAATTTGCACCTGTGCCTATTTTGTTTTTTATTATATCGATTGCTGCCTAAACGCACTAAATATACTTTATCTTTTGGACGAACACGATAAGATGGTCAAACTACTGGATCAACGGACTCTTTTTCGTCCAGGCTTGGATGACAGATTGGAAAAAGTGGTTAGTGTTGAAAGTGGTTTATAGAATCATATAATAAAAGATTATCAATTTATTTGCAGTTCGAAGACTTTATTCTAAACCTGTCAACAAATCCACTTAAACTACGATTTTTGGGCTTATTTGAAATCGATCGTATATCATTATTTGCTCTAGGCAACTCCCTATTAACACATTCCTTACTGCTCATCCAATATGATGTAGAAAATTTCTAAAACAAAACTTGAACATTTTAAAATTGATAATAAAATATTATATAATAATATTTATTTTTTTGTTTATTATTTAATCGAAAATGGATAAATACTTTTCTGGCTACAACAAATAAACTTATATTGTATATATTTCTAAACATTATTTAAAAACAAGAAAGGAAGCTAGCTTCGGCCAGCCGAAGCTTATATACCCTTGCAGATCATTCCTATTAATTAACAAATCGCAAAAATGTTCAATTTTCTAATATTTCGCATTAATTTTCCGATCGTTCCTATGGCAGCTATATGATATAGACGTCCGATTTTGATCAAATTAAAATTGAAATTCGGAAATATTTAAAAAGAGTTATATCCTAGAGTAGAAGATAATACAATAAAAACCAAAGAAGCTAGAATTTATTTCCTATTACTTTTCCATTAATTTTCCGATCGTTCCTATGGCAGCTATATGATATAGTAGTCCGATTTTTTAAATAATTAATTCGAAATTCAGAAATATTTAAAAAATAACATCCCCAAAAGTAGAAGGTAATATTTCAAAAAACACCGAAGCTAGAATTTTTTAAAGTTTTTTTCTTCCGATCCTTCCTATGGGAGCTATAAGATATAGTTTTCCGATCCGGTCGGCTCCGACATATATACTACCTGCAATAGAAAGAAGACTTTTGGGAAAGTTTTATCCCGATAGCTCAAAAACTGAGAGACTAGTTTGCGTAGAAACAGACAGACGGACAGACGGACAGACGGACGGACAGACGGACAGACGGACAGACGGACATAGCTAGATCGACTCGTCTTGTGATGCTGATCAAGAATATATATACTTTATGGGGTCGGAAACGTCTCCTTCACTGCGTTGCAAACTTCTGACTGAAATCATAATACCCTCTGCAAGGGTATAATTATTACATATTTCCAGCTTGATAACTTTATGCTAGGCCTGGCCCGAAATCCATTTAAGCTTTCATTCTTTGGTCTATTTAGATACGATCGCATGAGAGCATTTGCTGTAGCCAACTCACTATTGATACACTCAGTTTTATTACTGCAATATGATGTAGAACATTTTTAAACAAGAAAGGAAGCTAGCTTCGGCCAGCCGAAGCTTATATACCCTTGCAGATCATTCCTATTAATTAACAAATCGCAAAAATGTTCAATTTTCTAATATTTCTCATTAATTTTCCGATCGTTCCTATGGCAGCTATATGATATAGACGTCCGATTTTGATCAAATTAAAATTGAAATTCGGAAATATTTAAAAAGAGTTATATCCTAGAGTAGAAGATAATACAATAAAAACCAAAGAAGCTAGAATTTATTTCCTATTACTTTTCCATTAATTTTCCGATCGTTCCTATGGCAGCTATATGATATAGTAGTCCGATTTTTTAAATAATTAATTCGAAATTCAGAAATATTTAAAAAATAACATCCCCAAAAGAAGAAGGTAATATTTCAAAAAACACCGAAGCTAGAATTTTTTAAAGTTTTTTTCTTCCGATCCTTCCTATGGGAGCTATAAGATATAGTTGTCCGATCCGGTCGGCTCCGACATATATACTACCTGCAATAGAAAGAAGACTTTTGCGAAAGTTTCGTCCCGATAGCTCAAAAACTGAGAGACTAGTTTGCGTAGAAACAGACAGACGGACAGACGGTCAGACGGACAGACGGACAGACGGACGGACAGACGGACAGACGGACATGGCTAGATCGACTCGTCTTGTGATGCTGATCAAGAATATATATACTTCATGGGGTCGAAAACGTCTCCTTCACTGCGTTGCAAACTTCTGACTGAAATCATAATACCCTCTGCAAGGGTATAAATATTCCACAGGGGTTTACCTGAGCATTTCTGAATCGCGGAGGCAGGCATTTGGACAATCGAAGTGCTCTTAATACTGAGTCATTACGAGCTTAATTGGACCACTTTACAGATAAGTAAGCATTAGTGGCTGGAACATTAAAATTAATGAACCCAATAGCTCTATATAACATTAAAAATTTTGCGGGCTTTATATTTTTTTACAAATGGTTCTATCTTTTATGATACAAATATGCGCTGCGTAGGAACACCTAAAACACTAGTTTACAGCCGAAATGCTCCCCAGCAATTGATGGCAAATTCTGTTAGTGTTGGACCCCTAGATCACAAAAATAGCACTAATTTTTTTTTCGATGGCACAGTTTTTTTTAAAAGATTTTTTAAAGTTTGAAATGTTAAATTTCAGACTTTTTTCGAATTTCTTCTTATATCTCGGCAGATATCCACTTGGTTGAGCCAGTTTAAGTTTTATTTTAAAGTCAATAGATCAGAGCTTAACTTTGCCATACAGATCAATATGATTGGATGAGTAATGGCAGCGCAGAAGCTTGACAAAGATGAAAAATGTGTTTTTTGGTCGTCTGTAAGTCGGCTGTATATATCGTAAAAACTCGAAATAAATCCGTTGAAAAATCATAATGGGTACAAACTTAAAGTGTACATCCTACCGAATAGAACAAGCTGGATATGGCCCAAATCCATGGAAAACTGGATTTGTGGTGGATTTTTAAAGTTCGGATTTTTCCACTTTTTTCGGTTGACAGAGTCCAAATTTAAGATTAATCATAGGCGGCGACATGTAAACAAAAATAATTGGTGTTGGCAGCCGGGTCACTAAATAGCTAAATCAGATATTTAAAAGCTATAAAATTATTAAAGTGAATTTAATTTTTGAAATTAAGGTTACTTTTTTCATAAGAATGAACTATCCAAATGGATAGTACTTAATTAAATATACTCACAGTCATAACGCAAGCAATTTTATATTTTTAAAGGAATTTTCAGAAATTAAATTTATTTTATAATTTTCTAGCTTTTAAATTTAGCTATTTTTTGACCCGGCTGCCGTCACCACTCATTTTTGTTTACATGTCGCCGCCTATGATAAATCTTAAATTTGGACTCTGTCAACCGAAAAAAGTGGAAAAATCCGAACTTTAAAAATCCACCATAAATCCAGTTTTCCATGGATTTGGGCCATATCCAGCTTGTTCTATTCGGTAGGATGTACACTTTAAGTTTATACCCATTATGATTTTTCAACGGATTTATTTCGAGTTTTTACGATATATACAGCCGACTTACAGACGACCAAAAAACACATTTTTCATCTTTGTCAAGCTTCTGCGCTGCCATTACTCATCCAATCATATTGATCTGTATGGCAAAGTTAAGCTCTGATCTATTGACTTTAAAATAAAACTAAAACTGGCTCAACCAAGTGGATATCTGCCGAGATATAAGAAGAAATTCGAAAAAAGTCCGAAATTTAACATTTCAAACTTTAAAAAATCTTTTAAAAAAAACTGTGCCATCGAAAAAAAAATAATTGCTATTTTTGTGATCTAGGGGTCCAACACTAGCAGAATTTGCCATCAATTGCTGGGGAGCACACCAAGAATATTATTTTGTAAACTAGTGAAATCTGTATGGTAAATAAATTAAGTTTCTGATTGTCCTAATTCGCCGCCTCATTAAACAAACCATTCCTTCTCATTTACATCAGCCTTAGTTAATATTATTTCAATTGTAGAGAAATCGTGGCAATGTCAGTTCTTTGATGACCCATCGATTTTATGCAGTTATTACATTAGCTGGATCAAGATGAAATGATATCGCCCAAGATATCAGAACATCACAAATACCAGACTGAGGAGCGAGTCATTGGACAAGTCCGCCTAAACAATATTTTAGTATACCGCAATGCTTCTTCTAGTGAAGTGGTGCTTGAAAACCTGCTATTTATACGGACGTTTTACCGGCGTATTAAATTTCAAATTCGATTTCAAAAAGGGCCATTCAGTAGCCACCAATAAAAGTACAATATGTTCAGCCGCTTCGCATTTACTCATGTTCTCACTACTGATTTACCATGTAGTGAAATCACGTTCTATCGCCAGTCTGTGGAAATACGCAAATTCCCTTCATGGATACGTGTTGATGGTTATAGCGGGTTTTCGATTAATATGTGTTTTCCTGGCTTTAGTCAGTCGCTGGTCTCAACGTCGGACTTTTATGCGAATCTTCGAATCATTTTGGAGCCTTTATAAGAAAAATCCAGAGATAATCCAGTACTGCCAGAGGGGCATCCTTAGCAAGTACTTCTGTGTCACAATGGCTGAGACTTTTCAAATTATTGCCACCATGGTTCTAATGCGAAATCAGCTAACCTTGGCTTTAGGTCTACACTCATAGAAATTTTCCGGTAAAATCGCCCTAAAAACAAGGAAAATCGCCCTAAAACGGGGGTCAATGGCGACTAGGCAACAAAATAAGGGCAAATTGCCCTAAAAATACGGGTGAATTTGTCATACATTTAGGACGATTTTTCGTAGATCTAGGGCGATTTTTCTATTTTCAAAGGTAATTGCCCTAAAAATAAGAAATGAGACCCTTAAACTAAAGGCAGTTTCCTTTAAATCCAGGGCGATTTTTTTGGACTTATAGGCGAATTGCCCTGGAAATCGGAAAAAATACCTTTAAACTAAAGGCAATTTTTTATAAATCTAGGATTTTAAGGCGAATTGCCCTAGAAATAAGGAAAAATATCCTAAAACTAAAGGCAGATTTTCATAAATCTAGGGCATTTTCTCTGGATTTATAGGTGAATTGCCCTAAAACATGCAAAATGCTCCCCAAAATTTCACGGCCATTTTTCATAAATAAAAATACAATTTTAATATATTTTTTTTTTGTTTTTATATTTTTGTTTGATGTTATTTACATTAACTACAAATATATTTACACAATTTATAGGTTTACAAATTTACATACTCTCCTATTCTTATTGCTAAATGGATTATATCGGGTTTAAAAATTATAAATAATAAATAACTTTAAAAGAAACGGCTTCCCGAGTCTGCAATGGTGTGCTTCGCGTTCTTGCTCCCGGCGTCCTTTTTTCTTCTTGCTGTCGGCACCAACACTGAATGGATCGCAAGCCAATTTAAAGTTGATTGTATCTCTATTAAATGAAAACAGTCTAATTATTATATGATAATAGAAAAAAAGAGAAGCACTTACCTTCAGAGCTTTCCAAAAATTTGAGCAGGTTTATTTCCTGTTGCTTCCTTACTCCTGCTTTTATTAAGTCCGAAAAGTGGTTTGCGAAAGCTGGATCTGAAAAGCGTTCTCGATCTAAAAAAAAAAAAAAAATTGTTAGAAATTAATATAAAAATGCACAACCAACACACACAATTTTCATTTAGCCTGCGGTTGCGTTTGCTGCTACTCCTAGAAAAAAAAAAAGCAGAAAAAGCAAATTTCGAGCACTGACGAAATGTCGCAATAGAAATTTGGGGGCTGTTTTGGCATATGCACTTATGAATGCGGTTTGTCCGGTGCATAAATACAGATTTCTTGTAAATATATACATATGTATGTGTGTATTCTGTTGCATCATCTTTTTAACTCAAGCATTATTTACATATACACATACATATATGTATACTCTTATTAATGATCTTACTTTGTTCTGCCACACTTCCAAAACTTCCGCTTCTGGACCGACTAGTTGAACAGGAATTTCTTCTCGTAGCTGCTTCCACTCAAATTTTTTAAAGTTTCCGCTGCATTTTCCTTTGTTACAGATATGTAAATTCAATTAGTTATTAATATCCAAATTGCACAATTATATATGTATGTACTCACCAGAAATCAGAAAAAGAATCGCCTCCCAAGTCCCTTAATAGCGTTTACATTTTTCACTTTTTCACAAACAAAAGGTTTCATACAAACACGTCTTTCACTGCCAAGCGCCCGAAAAATTATGACAAAGTCTAGACAATGCAACTCTTTCTACCCCCACCCTTGCCACTGCAGCGGACGAAAAGTAGCAAAGAAGAAGAAAAAGGGTGGACTTCTCTAAAGTCAAATGCGCTCAGCATCAAAATTCATACAAAAAGGTCCGCCCTAATATACACACACATTCACTTGTTTTGACCTGTCAACCACACACGCATACACACATGCATTACATATGTATCCATTAACTGCGTCTTAAAATTTCGTTTGACTCTTCCTTGTTTTTAGGGCAATTTCAGAACATTTTTTTTGCTATTTTGTTCAACGTTTTAGGGCGATTTCGCCCTAAAAAGAAGGAATTACTTTTGGAGGCGACTCATAAAAATTCGCCCTAAAAAACACGGAAAATTTGCCTTTTTTGAAAAAACTAACCCTAAAAAATATTTTCCATGGCGATTTTTCGTATATTTAGGGCTAGCCACCCGTATAATAAGAAAATTTTCCTTAGTTTTAGGGCGACCTCGGTTTTAGGGCGACTTTTCTAGTATTTAGGTAAAAATTTCTATGAGTGTACGCATTTGGGCAGTTTTGAGTTTGACGGCCGTCATTAATGTGATTATTATGCAATATTTTATTGCCATGGCGAGTATTCGAGCCAGATACATTCTTCTGAATAAGAATCTCCGAATGGTTTTGGCCGAAACACGATCCCTGAATCCCAATCGAAGTGGAGTTTTCGTAACCAGATGTTGCTGCCTCGCCGATCGCCTGGAAGAAATCGCCACCGAGCAATCTAATTTACAAAAGCTTACAGAACAATTATCAAAGGCTTATCAGGGTCAAGTAGTCTGCCTGGCCATCAGTTACTATCTGAATATGGTGGGAAGTTTTTACTTATTGTTCAGTATCACCAAATACAAGGGCCTAACCCAAGACACATCATTGATCGTTACCATCTGCAGCTTAGCTTACTTCGGTTTTTATTATCTTGACTGTTGGCTCAACACACTTAACATATTCTATCTCTTAGACGAACACAATAAGATGGTCAAATTACTGGATCAACGGACTCTTCTTCGGCCAGGCTTGGATCAGAGATTGGACACAGTTGTTAGTGCTAAAAGATGTTTAATTAATTAAATATTTAATTAATTACTTTATTCAACTTATTTGCAGTTTGAAGATTTTATTCTGAACCTGACCAGAAATCCATTTAAACTACGATTTTTAGGCTTATTCGAAATAGATCGCGTTTCAACATTTGCTCTGGGAAACTCTTTATTAACACATTCCTTACTGCTCATCCAATATGACGTAGAACATTTCTGAAACATGAACATGATAGTTTTAAAGTTGATAATAAAATGATATAATAACCCAAACTTTTCTTTTATTTATGGAAACGTATTACCGTAGCGACTTTCTCCCAATTGAATTAGAATCAGAAATGGAAACTATATATAACTATATAAAAGCACCGACCACAACTTATCAATCCTATATCCCCCATGGCTACACTCATAAAAATTAATTTCTAAATTTTGGAAATCTCGCCATTGAATCGGCCTACCTTTGAAAATAGAAAAAAAATTTCTTGTTATTAGAAAATTGTCCTTTGAATACAGAAAACCTTTCTTGATGGAACAAATTCAAGAAAGTATTTTTCTTAAAAATAGAAAAATGAAAATCTCATATGTTTGTTTTGCCGTCGCAGCCAAAACATTTTTGTACGTATTTAAGGACAAAATCACCTTTGAATATATGAATGAAATGACCCTAGAATATAGGAAAGTAGCCATTGACTTCCTTCGGCTGCCGAATGTTAACGACAAGAAAAACGAAGTGGGACGAAGGGCCTACTCGGCCCGACTACCCGGCTACCGACTTCTCTGATCCCCCGAGCGTCAGTTGTGAAAAAAATTCGTGAGTGATGGACGTGATTTTCAAGCGGATAAGAGGTGAAGCCTTTTTCCGAATATTCAAAGGTATGTAAATATATAATTTTTTGTATAGCGCGCGTACAATTGTATGTATGTAATGAAAGGATAAATTTCAAATCTCTTTACCAAGCGTATACCAATTTAGTTGAATTGTTGTTTAGCTAAGAGCTACGTACATACATACATTTCTACATAAATTTGTGGGTGTACAGTTCTATAATAACTTTATCTTATTACTCGCATTTTATTTATTTTTCAGAGTGAAAATACCTGCAGTTGCATCAGCCAAATAATTTGTTTGTCGAAGCTGTAATTTTGTTTTAAAACCTTCTAAGGTAAGAAAAATATGTTGTATTTGTTTGACATACTTATGTATGCATGTAAATATCTATGCTTGTACGCGGCTCACCCGATCTGAAACCCGATTTTCAACCCTTTCATATTCTGCTCCTCTCTCTCGCTCGCTTAACCTACGCGTCGCGACGTTTCTCTCTTTACCTTCTTAAAACTGACACGATCTGCCCTGCTTACATTCGGTCTCCCTTCGCGCAAAGGACTGTATGTAAATATATATATATGTATGTACGTGTCTCTCCCGTGCCTCTCTCTCTCTAAAATTCGATTTTCAACCCTTCATTTTCTACCTGCCTTGCTCCTCTCTCTCGGTCGTCTGTCCAACGTGTTTGTATTTTGGCTATTATTAACATTACATTATTTCAAAAAAGTGGTTTATCTAAAAACAAATCATTGATATCCCAATAACTCTTTTTTTATAGATGAGGAAAGGCGAAGAAAATGGATCACCTTAGGTCATATGAAGTTCAACAGACCCTGGGTAATAATAATGTTTTCTTGAGTCAAAAATGTGTTATTTAAAAATGTTTAAATGTTAAGTGTTAAATGTTTTAAATGTAAATAAATATAATATGCAAAAGAAAAAACCAAGTTACATTTTATTTTTAGGGTTTCAGTGTTAATATAAAACTTCCTTTCAAGAAATATTATTTCTTAAATCAAGAAATAAAATTTCTTGAAAGGAAATTTAAACAAGAAAGAGTTTTTCTTGTTTAAAAAGTGCCTTTCTAAAAAACCCTTTCTTGTTTTAAGAAATTTAATTTCTTGAAACAAGAAACAAACCACCTTTGAAACAAGAATCGCCTTTCTTGTTTTAAGAAATATTTTTTCTTGTTTTTATGGTGGCTTTCTAAAAAACCCTTTCTTGTTTTAAGAAATTTAATTTCTTAAAACAAGAAATATTTTTCTTGTTTTAATGGTGCCTTTCAAAAAAACCATTTCTTGAAACAAAGGTGAGGTCGCCTTTGGCAAAAATTCAAGAAAGAATTTTCTAGATTTTAAGGAAATTCTTCGATTTTTTTTTATGAGTGTATACCATCACACAGTCAATAAATAAGTGGACTTCAGAGATGACACGATATCATATTTAACTATTGGCAATTATTCAAACATGTCAGAAGATTGGATTCAACGAATCGACTTACCAACTGAGAACTCCTCTAAACCAATATATCGCATTGGTATTGATTGACCTAGTCAAATGTTGTCTGTCTACAACATATTTTACCGGTCGTCGTTTTAAACTTTGAAGTCGATCTTAAAAGTGGTCGAACGAAAGTAACCAGAAGAGCTACAATATGTGCAACATACTCGCAGTTAATACTACTTATCATGCTGATTTTCTATCTGATTAACCTAAATGAAGTGCTGAAAAAATGGGAAATGTCGAATTCTCTTCAGGAATACATTTTCACGGCACTGTCAGTGTTTCGCATAACTTGCGTTTTTCTGGCTGTGGTCAGTAGATGGTCCAAACGTCGTTTTGCCGTCAGATTTCACTATAATAGAGACTATTCACATGATCACTAAACTGTCTCTGATTTAAAAGCAGACCAATATTTCAGTGGCTCTTGGCATATAGAGTCTCTTCAGCCTGACAGTCTTCATACGTGTGCTCATAATGCATTATTTTATAGTCATGGCAATTATTCGCGGGCGATACATCCTCCTGAATAAAGAGTTGCAATCGATTTTAAGCGAAACCCGATCACTAGAACCCAACCAAAGTGTATTTTTTTGTGAACTAACTTCGTGTTCAACATACATGTGGGATGGTACAAATTTCAGTTTATTTGGGAAAGTAACAGAATGTTTTTCAAAAACTTAAATGAATGAATGTTTCTTGATTTGACTTATTTAATTTCACAAAACCGACTTCTTTTCGGAACGCACTGGACAACCTCTTTTCTGCTCGACTCGCTGAATTCTTCTCCTCGCGTCGCTTCTTTTCGCTCGATGCTTTTTTAAAAATAATGTACTCGATTCTCTTTAATGTACTCGATTAATATTTTATAGTATTGGATAACAAATAATAATAAGAGCGCAATTCAAAATCAAATTAAGGTACTGGGCCTAAACCGTTGATGTCGCTGTTAATCTTACGCTGCAAGGGTGATACACTTCTACTAAATTCCCCAATCCTACATACATGTAGTGCTCAGAAGTACGTGATTTTGGTCCTATCAGGGTTTCGCATAATTTGCGTTTTCCTGGCTTTGGTCTGTCGATGGACTCATCGTCGGTCTTTTATGCTCCTCATCAACTGGATCCTCCTTCACTGCAGTCCGGAAAAACTACCGTACGGCCGAAAAATAAATAAGGGCAAATTTCTATGCACCACAATTGCAAAGACTCTGCATATTATCACATCTCTCGTTATGAGCCGAAAGCAGCCAACTATTTCTGTATCCCTTAAGATATGGGGCATATGGCCCGAAATTCTTTTAAACTTCAATTCCTTGGCTTATTTAAAGTTGATCGATTTGCAATGTACGTGCTGCTCAACTACCATCTATCTGACGCTATTATTCTTATCACTATGGACGGCAGTCCATGTAGTGACGAAGCGCACCAGGAGGGTGTGCGAAGGCGACTACTATATATACACGAAGAAATGAAAATCTACTGTGATGGTCCGATCATAATGAATGATACACCTATCGAAAGGTATTGCGAAAACTAACAGGATTGCATACCAAGACTCTAAGAAAATCAATTGGCTTGGGAGAGAGAGCGGTGAAAGTAAAAAAGTGAATATTTCGAAATTTGGAGCTGTTGGGGCCGGTGGGGATAATTGCCCCCTCTCAATGTTTTAGTTGTATTCCTTTTGAAAATACCCGTCGAATGAGGGGTCATTTCAAAATCCGACGCTCCGTTCAAAAGTTATAGCCAAAATAAGATTTTCTTCGTCTTCCCAAAATGAAAATTTAATTCTGTTTGTCAGTTTGTCAGTTTGTCAGTTTGTCAGTTTGTCAGTTTGTCAGTTTGTCAGTTTGTCAGTTTGTCAGTTTGTCCAAAACGTGTTTTCTAAGTTTTGAAAATTTGATATGACGTTCATCACATCGATATAAAAAACTTTTGTTCTACCACTTTTGGAAAAACTCGCTAGTTTAGCGGGAAAACAGCTATAAGTAGCTAAAATTCGGAAAGCCGTAACTTCTATACTACTAAAGCTACAGACTTGTGCTGCATCTCGTTTGAAAGGTATTTTGAAATGCTATAAACGCCATTTATATGCAACTTGTGTAAATGTAATAGTTAAAAAAATATGAACAAAAGACAATTTTTTAAAACTTTTTTTTTAGCTTTTTTTTATTTTTTTCAAAAACGGCTCTAACGATTTTCTTTAAAACTTTAAACTGTATAGCCCTTGAGATTCCTTAAATTTTGGTATATAACACATTACGTATTCGGCACGCTGCAATAGAAAATTCCTGTGAAGGGAAAACGGCTGGAATAGTTTGCTAGGGCGGGCCGAATGAGAAAATATTAGAAAGTCTATTTAATGACGAGTGTAATAATTTTTCGTCACAAATGTTGATATCAGAACTTTTGTATGTTGAAGGTGCGTTCGTCACTAGTTTTTTACCTCGTTAAGAGGTGTTTTTATTTGATCCAATATAATATGGAAAATTCGTAAAGAAAATTCAAAATTCATAAGATTATATTGTTACGTGATGTCCACGAAGAATATGTTTTTTAAACATCCTCTTTTTCGCTCTAGTGCTAGCTTCCAATCCCACAATCAACACAATATTTAAATTAAATTAGTTACAATCAAGATGGGTTTCAATGTGGCATGGTTTGAAAAGTTTGAAGTCATTATAATGCCAATATTTTGATTGATTGTAAATATGAAATAATCAGTCACAAATGTCATAGCTTCAGAGTCGGCGAATTGTATTTCCACTCGAGTAATCGTTCAGTATACTGCAATGGTTAACCTACTCAAATGGTGTCTGTACATATCATATTTTTCGAGTCGCGCTACCGGACTTTTGAACTTTGAGGTCGATTTGAAAACGGGTCGAACAA